AACTGTAACTCTAGCTCTTTGTGATCCCATGTTCTCTTCTGGGCTCTGTGACCTGCATGTGCAAACACACACACACACACACACACACACACACACACACACACACACACACACACACAGGTAAATTTAAACATAAAAATATTGAAGAAAAATAATAAGAAAAATCACCAGCAAGACCAACAAGATGGCTCTATAGGTAAAGCCACCTGCCACCAAGCCTGATGACCTGAGTTCAATCCCTGGAACATACATGGTGGAAGGAGAGAAGTTGTCATCTGACCTCCACACATGAGATGTGGCATGCACATGTGTGTGTGTGAACGCGCCCACATCCTCAATAAAAATTAAATACACAAATAAATAAATGTTAAGAAGAGAATTACATGAAATGTAGTCTCCCTGTGCTCTATACATGGAACAATAAAGCTCAGAAGATGACACATCTGCCTACAACATGGCAGACTGAGGATTGTAATGCCACTGTTGAAATCTACTGCTTGGCTTCAGGGTGGGGTGGGGGCAGGTTATTCTTAAAAATCTTACAATTGACCTGGTCACCCAAGAGCTCTGGCAGAGTTCTAATATGACACGAACGTCCTTGTGCATGCTAACACAACATCAGCATCCCAGGGATTAAGGAGTAAGGGGACTCCCAAATCTTATGATGTAAGAAACACATTTAATAAGGCTGGAGCTACCATAAATAGCAGTCCCTTTCATGAACATGGGCAAAGTAATTAGGAAACTCCGTGGAAATGGTTCACAGAGTGTGGGATGCTCTTTAAAACAATAATGATTGGTGGAGGAGGTAAAAACCCAACCTTGGAAGATCAGGGAAGAAGCTGATTCCATCCCTTACAGATGGGTTTGAGTGGGTTTCTTCAATGGAGGAAGTGGCCACAGCTGTGGAGGAAGGGGGGTGACAGCTAGAGTTAGAAGTGACATCTAAAGCTGTGATTGGGTTACCGTGGTTTTGTAATAAAACTCTAATAGGGAGTTGCTTTTTATGTATGGGCATAAAAAGTGGTTTCTTGTGTGTGTGTGTGTGTGTGTGTGTGTGTGTGTGCTGTTGTTGTTGTTTCTTGTGTTTTCACATGTATATGTATGTGTATGCATGTCTCTGTGTGTGTTCTTATGTGTATGTATGTGTGTGTGTGTGTGTGTGTGTGTATTTTCTCGTGTGTATGTGTATATATATGTGTGTGTGTGTGTGTGAGTGTGTGTGTGGTTTCTTGTGTGTTTTCTCATGCATATGTGTGTGGTTCCTTGTGTGTTTTCTCATGTGTATGTGTGTGTATATGTGAGTGTTGTGTGTGTGTGTGTGTGTTTATGGGTGTGTGTACATGGACATGGAGGATGAGATATCAAGTGTCTTTCTCAATCGATCTCTAACTTACACTTTTGACACAAAGTCTCTAGGTAAGCCTAGGGCTCATCTGTTGGCTAGGCTGACTGGCCACTGAGTTTCAGGGGTCAACCTGTCTCTTACTCTCCAAGAGGAGTTACAGTCACATGACACCTCACCCAACTTTTACATGGGCTCCAGGGATCCAAACTCAGGTCCTCATCCTTGGAATGCATGCGTTTTACTAACTGAGCCATCTCCCAGTTCAGCAGTAAAGTATTTTTAATTAAGTTCTAGGTATTATTTCTTTAGACACAGTGCTATTGCTCACTTCACAGATTACAATCTAACATAAACACAACCGGATATGACTCATTTTTACCTCCATATTTGCTTTACTTTGGTTGTCTGAGACAAAACTTGCACTATCACTGAGGTATGCATACATATGCATACTATGGGAGATAACAGGTGATATTGTCTGTTTACTAAGGTCTGACAAGACAAAGCTCTATGAATGCAAGGCACACTCCTGTAGCTGTGGGGCTAGGGATAAGGCTCTGTGGGTAAAGTGCTTACCGTGTAACTATGAGGACCTGAGTTTGAAACCCCAGCATCCACAGAAAAGCTAGAAGAGGGACCACTGAGATGGCTTAGTGGGTAAAGGAGCTTGCCATAAAAGAGCCCAACAACCTGAGTTCCATCCCCAGGACCCACATGGTGGGAGGAGAGAACTGACTCCCACAAGTTGTCCTCTTGCATGCACGTGCACCTCCACATGCATGCCATGGAAGGTGCTCCCCCAATAAATAAATGAATGAATAAATGTAAAAAAAATTAGCTGAGCCAGGTGTTGGTGGCACACGCCTTTAATCCCAGCACTAGGGAGGCAGAGGCAGGTGGATCTCTGTGAGTTCGAGACCAGCCTGGTCTATAAGATCTAGTTCCAGGCCAGCCTCCAAAGCCACAGAGTAACCCTGTCTCGGAAAAACAAAACAAAACAAAACAAAAAATAGCTGAGCATAGTAGCATGAGTCTGTAATCCCAATACTAGCAAGGAGAAGACAAGTGTATATCACGGGCTCTCAGGCTAGCCAGTCTAGGAAGGCAGGGAGGGAGGCAGGCTTGCTGTTTGGGAGAAGGAACAGGGGGTCTGGAGAGATGGCTCAATGGTTAAGAACACTAGCTGATCTTCCAGATGTCCTGAGTTCAATTCCCAGCAACCACATGATGGGTCACAACCATCCGTAATGAGATCTGGTGCCCTCCTCTGGCCTGCAGGGAGGAAGAGGATTTGTGGAATGGGTATTTGGGGACAAGAGAGAGTGATCTTGCTTGTACAAATAAAGCCTGTCTGAAGCTCAGAGGATGGAGTGCCACTAGCTAAACATAGAGGTCAGGAGGTCAGTACAAACAGGAAGTGAGATGGCTGGGCAGAGAGAGGATATAGGCAGGAAGAAACAGGAACTCACTCTCTTGTCTGTGGAGACGCTAAGGAGGTAAGGTGTGGCTATGACTTGGTCCTTCTCTCTGATCTCTCAGCATTTTCCTCTACATCTGACTCCAGGTTTTTATTATTTAAACCAATTAAGAATTCCATTTACATGTGGGTGTCAATATGACCAAAGTATGTTAAGTATTTTAAATACATGAAAATATCCTAACAAAACCTATTGTTTTATATAATATGTAGCAATATTTTTAAAAAAGACATAAGAAAAATGTGTTGACCAGGCAATGGTGATGGTGCACGCCTGGTGATGATAATCCCAGCACTTGAGAGGCAGAGGCAGGTGGATTTCTGTGAGTTTGAGGCCAGCCTGATCTACAAAGTTCCAAGACAGCTGGGATTGTTACACAAAGAAACCCTGTCTTGAAAAACAAAAAAGGAAGAAAGAAAGAAAGAAAGAAAGAAGAAAAGAAAGAAAGAAAGAAAGAAGGAAGACAGGAAAGAAGGAAGGAAAGAAGGAAGGAAGGAAGGAAGGAAGGAAAGAAGGAAGGAAGGAAGGAAGGGAGGAAAAACATGTTGAGTGAGTAAGTGGGCAAAGTCTTACAGAGCCCAAACCTCTGAGCTATTTTTATGGTAATGTATTTGAAAAGAAACTGGTCAAAAATCACTTATGAGAAAGGCATAACAGTGGGTATTTAAATGAACTTTCTCTGTTTTAGGTAACAAAACACCTGTGGGTGGGTAACATACATTTGACACTCAATTCTGTTGAGGGTCCAAAACATCATGGCATGAGCATCCTGGGTGTCTCCCTGGCCTCATCACAGTCCCACACAGAAGCAGGTGGAGAACTACCCAGGGCATGATCCAGGCAATGTGGCACAGGTACGAGAAAGTGAACAGAGGCGCTCAAACTCGATTTATAGAGACTCACTCTCCTGGCAACTAATTCAGTCCCCTGACACGTCACCTCCTCCATGAAGACAACACAGTCCCGTGGCTAGAGTACCCATACCCTACCTCTTAAAGGCTCACTGCCTAAAACCCCACATACTGGAGACAAGCTTTCAGCTTTGCAGTATGCTGGCCACACGCCTGGTGCTTCAGGGCTGCTAGGACTCAGCCTGGCATAAAGAGAAGCAGTGGTATTACACCAGGCTCCTGGCACTTCAGCATCCCACCTCCTCTTCCTCACAAATACGAGACTGACTTGAATACAGCATCCAATGACATGTCTTCTCTTATAGGCCTGTGTCATTAATACATATATCTTATTGTGTTTCTTCTGGTGTTTACATCTTTCCATACATGACATACCTAGGTCTTCTAGACCTTAAGTAAGATTTTCAAAGTTGTATCTAGATGGCCAATTTGTGTTTTATTTTCCTTTGCCTCTAGAAAAAAAATTCCCAATTTTAGTCTGAAAATCAATAAGGGTATGAGGCTCATTGGTAAGGCCACTCACCGCCTTGTAGCCATTTTTGATGGGAGACATATGGTCCCTTAAGTGAGGGGACACTGGTGGAGTTAATTTGATTTATTCCTGGTGCATTTCCTGAAGCATATGGAGAAGACTCAGACTGTGAGTGTCTAGAGGGATGTGTGATGTGGAAAACTGCTTGGGAGCCAAGGTTCGTTTGGTGTTCGTCGCTGGCTTTTCGAGGATTGCCTGGAAGATCTGGATGCAAACCTCAGCTGCATGGGGGCAGACTTAAACCCTGGACATGTGGAGGCCAGAGACTGGGCCGAGAGAAGCCACTAATTGGCAAATGAATACCCCACAGACCACCCTGTTACTTCCTTCTTGCTGGCAAGTTCTGCCATCTGGGCCAAACGGGCCTGCCTTGCTCATGGGCACACACACCTCTGGGCATAGGTTGCTCTGAGTTGCCTGGCATTCCAAATCCCAGAGTTTCTGGTAATGTGCAAAGCTTGCTGGAGCACAGAGAATGCAGAATCCAGAATTGGGGGCTGGTGGCCATCTTTTAGATTCCAACGTTACTTCTCTTCCTGTTTTAATGCTATCTGAGTGAGAGGGTATCTGAAAACAAAGCTGATTTTTAAAAGGAAAGCCAAAACCTGCTTTCGTAATCTGGGTGGTGTGTGCTGAATAACAGGGAGAGAGACTGATAACCAGTCCTCTCTGTGTGGAGTGCTGTATCAGCCAGTGTCTAGTTACTATAATAAAATACTTGAGGTTGGAAGCTTTATTGATAAGAAGATAATTTTATTTAGCCTTTGATTTCGAAGATTGAAAGTCCCCAATTGGACAGTTCTGTTAATTCAGCTTCTGATGGGCAAGCTTCTGTCATCTGGGTTACCACATTGTGAATGGCATCGCGGAGGGCTGTGTACACGAAGGAAAGACCATTTTGTAATATAGGAAGACAGAGTGGAAAGGAACCAGTCTAGTCTTTCATTATCTATCTATCTATCTATCTATCTATCTATCTATCTATCATTTATCTATCTCAATTTGTGTGTATATTGTTGTTTGTTTCTGAGACAGGGTTCACATAGCCCAAGGTAGCTTTGAACCTGCTATATAATAGATGAATACAGTTACACTGAACTTCTGATTTCCTCTACCTCATGAGTGTTGGAATTACAGGCATGAACCCCCACAGTTTATGCAATCCTGGGAATGAACTCAGGGCCTCATACATGCTACCCAAGCAATCTGCCCACTGAGCTATATCCCCAGCCTACAACCCTCTCTGCTGACAACTGAGGGCCCCTGAGAACCACATGAGTCCCTTCCGAGGACAGTGCCCTGTGTAACCTAATTACCCTGTACTAGGCCCTCTCTTGAAGTTGCAGTTGCCTCTTAAAATCGCCATGCTGGGTGCTAAGCTACCTGTGAAACCTGGGAGGGTATGCTCTTCAAAACATAGCAGGGTATAAGATAGTCATAACCCAAATTTACCACTTTAATTCTTTTTTAGTGTAATAGTGGATTAAAAACATTCACAGGTTATAAAAACACCACTCTTGTTCATTTCCAGAATGTTTTCATCATCTCCAACCTATTGGAAACCTATTCTCATTAAGCACTATCGTCCCTACTCCCTCCTTTTCTACTTTCTCATTGGTGGCTTTGGTTATCCCCGGTTGCTCATATAAATGGACTTATACAACGTTTGTCCTTTTCCATGTAATTTGTTTCATTAGGCAACTCTTTTCATAGTTTGTGCTATACAATGTGTCAGCATTCCCTTCCTTTCCAAGGCTGGATAGGCCTAGGCAGATGGCCTGCCTTACACGTGTGAAACCTAGGTTCAGACCCAAGTATTCCCTTGCTATGAAGACTGTGTTTCATTATTTACTCCTGGGCTACTGACATTTGCATTGCTTCCTCTTTTCTGTTGTTGTTGTGAATAATGTTGTAATTCACATTGTACAACTATGTGTTTGGATTATTTCAGCTCTTTGTGGTTGTATACTTAGAAGGGGGTTGCTGAATCACATGGCATTTCTCTTTTACAAAACATTTTTTTTTAGATTTCTTATTTAATTTCATTTGATGTGTATGGGTGTTTTGTCTGTATTTATGTCTGTGTACCACATGCAGATATAGATTGGAGAGATCCTATCGGGAGGTCCAGATGTCTGCGAGCTATTTTTTGTTTTGTTTGTGTGGTAACAAGGTCAAGAGCTGGCTATAATGAGGTGGGGGGACATAGGAGATGTGAGGGGTAGAGGGCTGTATAAAATAATCACGGTGGGGGAAAATAGGTAATAGTACCAAGGAAGGATTTCAGGATTACCAGGTTGTGTCACGTGATCTTTTGAGGTTTGTAGTCATGAATTTAACATGAAAATTATGGATGGAAAGTGTGTGTATGTGTTGCAGTCTATCTCTGGGTGTGCATGCAGATCCTACCACACTGAGGTGGTGAGATTTACACCACTCCAGGGAGTAGGCTGGTTGGGTCAAAATTAAGAGTATTTTTATTTTAATTGATTCTATCTTCAAATGACTTTACCAATCATACTCCCCAACAGAATGTGACGGTACTGCCTGCATCTTCAGCAGCCCTGACCTGAGGCAAACTTCCTAGTTTGCATTTCTGACAGAATAAAATATGGCTTCTCATAGCTTTGACTCACAGTCCCTTTAATTTGGGGGACATTATATCCTTTCGAAGGTTTGTGAGAGCTTTGATGTCTCACTATGAATTTTTTAATAACCTTTGACTAGTTTCTTGTGTGTTGTTTAGGTTTTGTGTTTTGTTGTTTAGTGTTTTTTGAGACAGGGTGTCTTGCTATGTAGCCTAAGCTAGCCTCAAAGTCAAATCCTCCTGTCTCTGCCTCTTACCATTGCACTCACTAGTGTGCCTTTTGGTGGATTGGTTGATATCTCCCTTAGCAGATTTTGTATTAAGTGTCTTATTTCATAAGATTTTCTAATTACTAATTATAAAAAGAGTATTTCTTCTAATGCTTTGGAGTTTTTAGCTTAAGTTTTAGATGTAACAGCACACCCAGGACATTGAATTTGGAATGTTCACTTCCACAAACAGCCTCCACATTGCCCCTTTCAAGTCACACCCCCCTTTCTCTCCCTTCCTTCCTACCTCAATGCCTCATATGATGGTTAATTTTAAATATCAACTTGACACAAACTACTGTCTCCCAGGAAGACAGCATCATCTGATGCTTTGAGTTGGTCTGTAGGCAGGTCTGGAGGGAGAGGGAAGTTGTCTTGATTGTTAATTGGTGTAGGAAGTCCTAGCCCACTGTGGGCAGCACTGTTCCCTAGGCAGGCATCATGAACTATGTAAGACAGGAGAAAGCTACATGAAAGCAAGTAGGCAGGGAGCAAGGGTGCTTATTTTCTCTTTGCTCTTAACTGTGGATGTGCTTGTTAGTTTCTGCCTAAGGGACCAACTATGACCTGCTGATTTTCAAGACAAATCAGCCCTTTCCTCCCTATGTTGCTTTGTTTGTTTGTTTGCTTTTGTTTTTTGAGACAGGGTTTCTCTGTAGCTTTGGAGGCTGTCTTGGAACTCGCTCTGTGGACCAGGCTGGCCTCGAACTCACAGACATCTGCCTGCCTCTGCCTCCCGAGTACTGGGATTAAAGGCATGAGCCACCAACGCCTGGCTTGCTTTTGATCAGGATGTTTTATTTAAGCAACAGAAATCAAACTAGGACACCACTGAATCCTAACTCCAGCAGCCACGGCTCTGTTTTCCATTTTTATCATTTTGTCATCTCAAGAATGTTCTGTGGGCAGAGCCAATGACCTCCAGGGTCAAATTGTTCTTTAGATCAGCGGTTTGCTTCTTTCAATTGCTAGGGTGTGCATGCATCCTACTTTGTTTAGCCATTCACTCACTGAAGGATGTCTGGATTGTGTCCAACTTGGGCATATTACTAATGAATTTACTGTAAACACTGGTGTACAGGGTTTTCACGAGAACCTAAATTTCACTTCTGGATAAATACTCAGAAGTACAACATTGGGTCCTGTAGTGGTGGCATGTTTAGCTTTAAAAAAAATGTCAGGTTGCTTTCAAATGACCAGACCTTCTTCAGTTGCCACCTGCAATGTACAAATGACCAAGTTGCTTTACATTCTGCCCACTGTTTGATGTTGTCACTAGGTTTTTTGTTTGTTTGTTGGCCATCTTGATAGATGTAGTGTTGTAGCTCATGGGATTTTAACTGTCATTTCCCTAATGACTGAAGAGGCTGGGCATCTTTGTTGGCCATCTGGATAGATGTACACTGTTATAGCTCATGGGATTTTAATTGTCATTTCCTAACGACTTAAGAGACTAGGTGTCTTTGTGTGTCAACACAAAGCACATTCTACTGAAATATCTCTCTGTGTCTTCAAGTTAACATTTTTTGTTAACTTGACTGGCTTTGTTGTTGTTGTTCCTGCTCAGTTTTAAGGTCTTCCGATGCTCTGGATATTAGTCCTTTATGAGAAATGTGTTTTATGAATACTTTCTCCCCACCTAAGGCTTATCTTTCCTTCCCCTTTCTCAAATAAAAAGTTTTAACACTTGATGAAGCCAATTTACCAGTGCTTCCTCTTCTGGATGCCACTTCCAGTGTGAAGGGCAAAGCTAAGAACTTTCTGACAGGTCAAGGTCACAGACATCCCCCCCTTTTTTTCTCACTAAAAATTTTATAGTTTAATTTTTCTTTAAAAATTAACTTGAGAGCAGTCTCATGCCTTTAATACCAGCACTCAGGATGCAAAAGCAGACAGAGCTCTATGAATTAGAGGCCAGCCTGGGCTACACAGTGAGTTGTAAGCCAGCCAAGGCTACATAGTGGAACCCTCTCTCCAAACTAAACAAAACAAAATCAACTCAAGTCAGGGCTGGCAAGATGGCTCAGCAGTAAACACATTTAGCACTAAGCCTGATGGCCTGAGATGAGTCCCTGCTGGAAGGAAAGAACTGGTTCTTACAAATCATTCTCTGACATCTACATACATACACACATACACAAAATAAATAAAATTTTAAAAATTCATTAACTCAATCCAAGGGGTCTCTTTCTCTATTTCTCTCCTCCCACCAAATCCATTCCCTCCTCCCTTCTTTCCCATGAATTTCCAGTGGCTCCAGCTTTATTTTGGACATACGTGTGGGGGTCTATTTCTATGTTCTCTGTTCTGTCCCATTGGCTCTAACTTTCATCCCTCTTCCAATGACTCACAGATCTCAATATCATAGTTATGGACTATCTTGAAATTACATCAGTTAATCCCCAGTGATTGTCAAATCTGGGGGTGTGCACTTGTAATCCCAGCTACAGGGAGACTAGTATAGGAGGGTCACTTGAACCCAGGTGTTTGAGAGCAGCCTGTGCAAATTATCAAGATTCCATAAAAAATGGCTCAGGGGTAAAGATACCTGCCACCAAGCCTGAGGACCTGAGTTTGGTCGTTGAGACCAACATGTTGAAAGGAGAGAAATGACACCCACAAGGTGTCCTCCCACCTCCTTAACGTGTGCCATGTATGTACTCACATGTGCGTGCACACACAAATAATACAATAAAAACCCTCTCTCAAAAACACAAAGTCGTCATCCTTTTCAGAAATGACTAGTCCATTCTTGTTCTTTCACACTTTCATACAGTTTTAGGATAACTATTCTACACCTTGTAAAAACTCATTTACCTCATAAACTTTCTGTGTTCCAGAACCATGAGAACACTCTTCTGCATTTCTTCTGATTCATTTGTAGACCTAAAAGAAGCATTCGGCTGTGTGTATGATCTGGAGTTCATGGTGAGGGTGAGGGTGAAGTAGGACCAATGTGACCTCATGATTTGCAGTTATTTCTTCCAATATTTTGTTTGTTTGTTTGTTTGTTTGCT